TCTTAGCTGCAAAGTAGAAAAAAATAAACTCTAATTAGCAGGGTTGTAAATGAGCACCCAGTTAGCTAAGATATCTTTAGGCTCAGCTCAGGCCAGGGCAATCCACGGTGTGTCTTTCCAGGCTCACACTGAGCATTCTTGGCTATTGGTTCTTAGCTGTCTTTTCATTGTAATCCTCAAAGTTTACATAAAGGAGCCAAAGCTACCCATGTGTGCATTTCTGTGTGTGATTTCCACCATCCTCAGTTTCCCCATGTATAAATTGGTGCCTTCCTTTGCTAAGGCAAACTTGATATGTATGTATCCAAGTCAACCTTAGCCAAAAGCTGAAGCCCTGTTTTGAGCCAACCAAGACTCCCATATAGGGGATGCTCAGGTATTTATTTCCCTTTCCTTGGGCCTCAGTTCAACATTTGATATAGGAGAATCTTGAGCACATAGCATGTGCAAGGTCTGTTTTTGGTGAAAAATCACAAGCACTGAGCAGCTGTCACCTTATGTTACCACAGCATACAATATGGCAACATCAGTGGAGACCATGGTTAGCCCATGTTTAGATACAAGGAAAGGGGATTGGCCCTAGATCATTGCCATCCTGAACCACTGGACCATGACTGTTGACTGAAAAGGAGAAGAACGGTTTTCAATATCTGTGGTTTCCACTTTGCCCTGCAGTCCATTACCTCCTCAACCCAAACTCATACTTCCGCACTTGATCCAGCTTAGACCGTGTCATAGACGTTCCCTGTCCTACACCTCACACAAGAATCTCAGGAAACAGAAGGAAATGCCTGAGCAGCCCATAAAATTGCTGGCATTATAGCAGAGAAGCCAGCATCCATCCTACCCTCTAGCATGGTAGCCACAAATGGCCTATGAGGTTTCTTTAGGGCAAAAGTGCTTTGTTGAGTTTACATAGGGCTGATGCAGAGATACAGAGGCATATGGTCAGAGGGAGAATTTACCCAAAAACCTAGTTTGGTCATTTCTCTTGAAAAATCTGAGACTCTGGCAGCAATAGGTCTATACACTCACATGTCTGGAGTTGGCTGGACCTGAGGGGGACTCTTCCTCATATGGAGCCTACACTCTAGCTCTCTCCCTGAAAATGTCACTTTGAAGGAAGTCTTACCTTCCAGAGGAGACTTCTTTTCTCAGGAAAAAGAGTGTCTTCTGAAAGAACAATGGAAATGCAGATTGAAAGAAGCCTAGCCAGGATCAGCTAGTTGGCTGACTGATCTGCCTGCCACTCAGCGGGCAGCAATGATGTTGGGATCAGGACAGACCGATCTCAGTGACTTCCTGTCTGGAACTCCTGTCTTTTAGGAGGAAATTCATCTTTCCCAGTTGGAAGGCATATATATGTGTGTGTGTGTGTGTGTGTGTGTGTGTGTGTGTGTGTGTGTGTGTGTGTGTGTATTAAATACATAAAATGTATTTGGTCTAGAATAGTGGTTCTCAACCTGTGAGTTGCAACCCTTTTGGGGGTTAACAACCCTTTCACAGGGTTCACATATCAGATATCCTGCATATCCAATATTGAAATTACAATTCATAACAATAGCAAAATTACAGTTATGAAGTAGCAACAAAAATAAATTTATGGTTGAGGTCACCACAACATGAAAAACTGTACTAAAGGGTCACAGCATTAGGAAGGTTGAGAACCACTGATCTAGATTTCTAAGAGTGTAAACAGTCTCTCAATATATGTATGACTTTAACACAATATGAAAGTAGCTATGATTTTAAAAACAGCCTGGGCTGGCCCAATGCTATAAATACTGCTATTCCTCATAGGCTATATTCATAATTGTAAAGAATAACAATGTTAAAAGTTGGCATACACCTTTGATCCTAGAACTTCAGAGGCAGAGGCAGGTAGATTTCTATGAGTTCGAGGCCAGCCTGGTCTACAGAGCGAGTTCCGAGACGGCCAGGGCTACACGAAGAATCCTGTCTTGAAAACGACAACATCAACAAATAATGAATAAAAGGTCTGGAGAGATGGCTCAGCAGTTAAGAGCACTGGCTGCTCTTCCAGAGGATCCAGGTTCAATTCCCAGCAACCACATGGCAGCTCACAATTGTCTGTAACTCCAGTTCCAGGGGATCCGACACCCTCACACAGACATACATGTAAACAAAATGCCAATAAAATAAATAAATTTTTTTAAAGTTACTAAAAATAAAGATGTACTGTCTTAGAGCCCCACATCAAAACCCCTGTGCCAGCATCATTAAGGAGACCACACCAATAATTCAGAAATTGTTGTAGAATATTATTTTAAGATGTGTTACATTTGTTTATGCTGTGGAACATCTGTTTAATGATGCAAAGATGTGTTGCATTCTTTTATGTTGCATTTGTTTAAGTCTGTGTAGCTGTGTTACTGTGCCTGTCTAAAACACCTGATGGTCTAATAAAGAGCTGAACGGTCAATAGTGAGGCAGGAGGAAGGCTAGGTAGAGCTGGCAGGCAGAGAGAATAAATAGAAGGAGAAGTTTGGGAGGAGGAAGAGGAAAGAAGAGGTACACCCCAGAGGAGGGAACTCATGCCTGGCACTGCAAATTTGGCTGAGAAGTAACACCCTACTACTGTTATTTTGCTAAAGGGTCATAGCATCAAATTGTCTTTTAAATAAAATACTTAATCCTTTTTTATTTTTTGAAGATAGGGTCTTACTATTTAGCCCTAGATGACCTGAAACTCAATATGTAGACCAGGCAGACTGCCCTACAACCTCACAGAGATCCACCCACCTCTGCCATCTCAGTGTTAGGATTAAAGGTATGCACTACCTTCACCCAACTTAAATACTTACCCTTATATCCATAGACTCTTCATCAGATAAATTTATTATGCAAATAGCAGTTAATACAAAGACTCCAAGCTAGTCAAAATACAGAAAATAAGTGACCATTGGATATTCATTCCTAAATGTGACATATTTATCACGGCTCCCCACCCCCAAGGCTCAGGAAATATCACAGAAGAGGAAATGGAAAGATTTGAAGAGCCAGAGGTCAGTGAGGATTGCTGTGAACTAATGTCTTCTGGACATAATGGGACCAAAGCTCTCGGGAGTCCACAGGAGCTGGAGGTCCTGGTCCAAGACTGCATAAAATCAACCTGATCAACACTCCAGTGGGAGAAGGAAGGGATCCATGCAGTCCTGCCTTTATCTGAGGATCTACTGTCAGTTGGGGGATGCCGAGATGGGGAGAGTCAGCTTCCTTCAGCAGTAAGGCCCATGGCAGGTTGCCCATGTGTCAGTGGCTGGTGCCCTACAGTCATGTACATACAGGCAGCACTAAGTAGACTCAGTGGGTAGAAAAGGAAGAAGAAGAGGAGGAGGAAGAAGACATGAGGAGTTAGAGGGGGACACCAGAGGGTAGATATCATATATCATATAAACGCATTATATTTATATGTGAAATTACCAAAGAATAATTTTTAATTTAAATAGTGAAATCAAAAAAGGAACAGACTGAAAAATTGCAACATAATAAAATATATTAGGGTTCTTAACATATAGAGTTATTTTATTGGTAACAAACCAATAAAAATAGAAAATACCCCAACATAAAAAATGTTATTACATGCTGCATAGAATAAGAAAATATAAGTCCAGTTAAACAAGGGTAACAATTGACCTTTCCAAAATGAAACAGGAAATTACATTGCCCCATTTTCCTCAGAACCACTACAAGTGATTTAAATTCATTCTTTTTTACCATACAAATGGTACTCCTTACATAAGTTATTAATTCATTTTCCACACTTACTAATCAAAAACTCATTTTACTGCAAAACAAAGGACTTTCTAAACATCAAATTATCATTATTGACTCAAAAAAATCCATACAAGTACAACCAGCATAAAGAAATACATATGACACTGTTGTTGACCTATTTGGTCTCACTGGAAACACTATATATTTTTGAGAAGCTTAAAGTGTTTTCACTCAAGTCCTTCAAACTTTTGTGTTCAGGGATGTCTGGAGAGCATTCTTCAGTTACAGCAATAAGAACCAAACTGCTCCTCCCAAGCAGGGATAACGGGAATTCTTATCTGTGAAATGTTGAACACCTGAGTTCACTGTCTCAGGGACACAAAGAGAGGGCATCATCATGGGGTAATGGGGAGTCAGATATCAGAAAACACAGCAAGTAATGGAATAAATAAACCTGAGGCAGGACACAGGACTTGTGAATGTTTGGGTTGTTTGGTTTCTTTACAGTGTGTGTGTGTGTGTGTGTGTGTGTGTGTGTGTGTGTGTGTGTGTGTGTGTGTGTGTGTACATGTACACCACAGCACACATGTGGAGGTCAGAGGTCAGCTGGCAGGAATTGGTTCTCTCCTTCTATCATATGGGTTCCAAGGCTCATATTCAGGTCATCAGGTTTGACAGCAAACACCTTTGCCCAGGGAGCCATCTCACCAATTTTTTTTAATAAGACTATCAGAGCCATGATTCTTGAAGAGGGAAATTTAACAGTGAAAGGCAACAGATGGATGTAGAGTTTCATAAGACATCATAATTTTGTGTTTGGGAAAAAGTGTAAATTTTTCCATAAAGCAAACAACCAAGATGAAATTTCTAGAAAGACTTGGCTGATAACTGCTTACAGAAAAAAATAATAATATCAATTTTCATGCCTCCTGAGAAGCAGAAGTGAATTTATTTGTATTTTAATTGAAAAATAAAAAAAATTACATGTGTTTATGGTGTACAACATGATGCTTGGAGGAAGTCAGTTTTCATCTGAATCTGTGGAGGAAGCAGCTTTAAAAAACTTGAGCTTATCATTTGCTCTTAAGCAAAGGCTGGGGTAGGATAAATGTGTACATTGAAAAAGGACAGTGTGGGGAAGGCAGGCTGGGGATGGGAGGAGACTAGTAATTAGGACACATGTGCCGGGACCAAGACTGATTGGTTCACCTGCATCTTTGGCCCCTAAATTAGTTCTTGGTACACAGGAAGATCAATGACTTAATGGATTGGTGAACACTGCTGTAGTTTACACATGGGCTCATGTGTTTTAAGTTCAGTCTCCAGTGTGGCAACGTTGAGAGGAAGCAGAACATTTGAGAAGAAGAGCAATGCAATGAGGTCATGGGAGGGTTCCATCATCAGAAGGAATTAATATACTTTTGATGGAATTCCAGTTGGTTCTTACAAAAAGAGGAAGTCTGAGCTGGCCATGGTGGCACACACTTGTAATCCCAGCCCTCTGAGGCTTAGGAAAAAGGACTGAGAGTTTGAGGCCAGCCTGGGATACACAGCAAGACCTTCCCTCTGCCCCCTCCCATGGGGGGAGTTGCAAGGGACTTGGCTCCTACACTTTTCTGGCTTCCTGACTCACCATGTGACCTCTTGTATATGCGTCCTGTCACTGTGATGCCATCCTCCATGAGGGCTTCACTAGAGACCAAATAGAAAGAGTCATCTGAGTCAAGATCTCAGCCTCCAAATGTCTGAGATAAATAAACCTCTTTTCTTAATAAATTTCCCAGTTCCAGTATTTTGTTATAGTGGCAGAAAATGGATTAATACAGATGTCAAAGTCAAGGGCTGGGTATGATGCCACATGCCTTGAATCCCAGCACTCAGGAGGGGGAGGCAGGTAGATCTCTGTGAGTTGGACGCTATCCTGGTCTACACAGAGAGTTCCAGGACAGCCAGAACTGCATAGCAAGACCCTGTCTCAAAAATCAAAACAACAACAATAACAGCCATGTCCCTTTCATTCTGACAGGTGTTAAAATTAATCTTACAATATTAAATAGAACAGAACATAAGCAGACCTATTAGCGAACTACCAGTCTCTCTTGCAGCTACAGTCTAGCCAGGGAGATGCAAGGATACACAGTATTTGCACTTATACAATACTTGCATAAAGTCTTTATGAAATGCATTTTCTTTCCTCCTTCTATCATCCTAGTGTCTGGAATAGCCAGATGATGGGCTGGAGGTCCAGCAGCCACTTGGAACATGGTCTACAGATGCTAGGACAACAATCTGAAAGATTCAAGCTGGGGCTTCCAATGGCCACTATTAACATGCCTGTCCTTAAATTATCTGCCTTCAGACTTGCTGCTCCATGAAGGATAAATATGTTCTACATTTACAGCCACTTTTCTTTTGAAGTATGTATTATTACCAGGGAAAGTTAATCCTGAAGATGTGGATAACTCCCAGCCTCTAGAGACAGTAGAGAGTAGGGCAGCCCAGAAGTGTCCAGTTTCCCACAGCAGCAGTAGCCCTCTATGTGTTACCTGTACCTGGCTCCCTGGACACTTTCCCGTCTGTACCTTGAATCAGAGCCCTGTAAGTCTTAGGACAGTGCTTTCGATAGAGATTTTCCACCAGGGTGTTACTTCCTCTAACCACAGTCCTGCCCTCTTTATTCATGTAGTTCCACAAATGCAGCGCATAGGAGTCATTGAAGCTTGGCTCTGTGTCCCACACTTGATAGTAGCGCCTCCACTCTGGATAGGGGATAGGGTAAAATCTCTGGGGATGAAGGAAGGAAATATTCAGACACTTCAGGTCACCCAGCTCTTGGAAGTCTTTAAGTCTGCACCACACCCTTAACATCCTTGTCATCAAATTGGGACCTTGGTTGCCCCAAATGTCTGAGTTATAGTGCTCAACAAAGTTCTCCATGCAGGCCCACAGAAAGGGGTGGTGGGGGAGAAACCCAAATACACCGTTACTAGAGTGCCGGGAACCCTGGGCTGCCAAGAAGTTCTCTTCGGGGATGGGCCTGATGGAGATGACATCAGTGTCCATGTAGATGCCACCATATTTCCAGATGATAGCCAGGCGGGATGCATCTGAGCTGACATGGAGCCAGTGTTTCTCAGTACTGCTGTTGACCTATGGGAACAGGTACAAATGAGCCTGAAAGCAGTAAGGGTGGCTAGGAAGGACCACAACAAGGTAGATTCCCCAAAATCTATTTGACTGCAAGCAAAACTTAATAAATTTCTCAATTTACCTTCACCCCCCCCCATTTTCCTTGAAGTAAAGAGTTTACAGCAATTTGTATCAATGCAAATATTTTTAGCAGTTATTGAAGATTTCAAAAAATGGGTTTTCTTTCATCAAAGCAGTGGAAAGATAGAGGCAAAATTCAGCAGGAATTGCACAATGAACAGTGTGAGTCAATCTTCCATGTGGGTGACAATACCACAAACATGAAACTGTGAAGGATGGATTTTTTTTAATCCTCAAAATGTTCAAGATTGATATTTTAAAAAATTAAAATAAAGTGAAAAATGAAAACAGCTAGGAAACTCGAAAAAAATTAATACACTAGTTGAGAAATTGGGGGAAAGAAAAAGAATCTGAGACTGCTTGAATGCATGCCTTTGTTCGCTTGGGAGGTCCCTTAATGAAGTTCACTGAGGACCCACTTACTATGCACCAAGCACTGTGAAGTTGCTGAAAGCATAATAATGAACGAAAAGGAAAAATCCCCACTGGGAGGAGATCGACAATAAACAAATATATACTGCATTGGGTGTTGATAAGGACTATGAAGGGAATAAAATACTAGGTGAGGGGACTATAAAGGGGTGAGAGAGTGCACAATGTTGTATTAGGCTCCAGCAGAAACTTGAATGTAATAGATGGGTGCGCCATGAAAACATCCGGGAGAAAATGCTAAGTTGGAGCAAGTGCAAGGGCCCCAAGGCAGAAGCATACTGACTATGAGACAGAAGCAGGATGAAGGAGGGAGAGGCGCAGGCAATGAGGACAAAGCAGAATATGGAAAAGGGAGAGATCAGGTAGAATGGGATCAAGATTTGAAATTATTTGGCAGGTTGAGCAGAAAGGAGCCATGTAATCTGAATGGGTTTTCCAAGGGTCACTTTGGCTGCTGTGTGGACAAGAATCTGGGGCAACGGCGGGAATTGATGGAGACAGACAAAGAAGCAGGCTAAGAGTTTGCTGAGGTCATCCAGACTTGGATCAGGGTAATAATCTGGTGGGGGTGAGAGAAGTGATCAGGGTCCATATTCCAGATAAAAACAGGTCAGCCTTCACTGATGGGTAGGTGGTAGGAAAGAATAACTGTAAATGCTAAAAATCAAGCAAAACAGAAGAGGAGCCCAGAGGAATAAAAATAAATCAGTATAAATCGTAGTGTTCCCTTTTGGGATGGTAAGATTTTGAATAAAAAAAAAAATAAGTTTTTCCTAATTTAAATATATTGAGTAAAAGATTAAACAAAGACCTTTGGTTTTGATTTAAAAAAAAAAAATGAGCTGGGCAGTGGTGGCGCATGCCTTTAATCCCAGTGTGTGGGAAGCAGAGCCAGGTGGATTTCTGTGAGTTAGAGGCCAGCCTGGTCTACACAGCAAGATCCAGGATAGGCACCAAAACTACACATAGAAACCCTGTCTCGAAAAACCAAAAAAAAAAAAGTTGTTGGAATTCTACTATAAAGAACAAAAGCAAGTTAACAAAAACTTAAAAAAAAAAGTCTCACAGTTGCTGAAAGTTATCCCATCACTTACAGAAACAGTTAATAGCTAGTATATATCAATGATCATTCTAAGCACTTGATAATCTACACAAATCCTCAAAGATGAGGTTCGTGGTCATTCTATCTTTCAAATGAGAAACTGAAGGATCAAGATACTTCATCATTTGTCCTCAAGTACTGGTTGAATTTGAATCTGAACAACTTGTCTTCAGATAGCCACTCATTCAAAAGAAACTACGTTTTGATAAAAATCAATATAACCTGGGAAATTCAGGGTTCTGACTGAACTAAGAGAACATCAAAAGCCTTAGGAAAGCAGAAGAGGAACCCTGCCTGGATGGGAGCATTAGCCTGCCATCCACCTGAGATAGGGTGGGCGGCAGAAGGAGGTCTGAGGACAATGCCCATGCTGGTTATGGACATCTTCAAGAGCTACAACTACTTGTATGGTTCATATAGCAAACCCAGGGGTCCTTAGGAAATGATGGCACCATGGATCCTCTCTAGCAGGTGCCCCCCAATCTATCTCCTTTGGAGGCCCAGCTGAGACAGAACATGTATTGGCCCGGTTCCCTCAAGGGTATCATGGTATGAACGCTGTAGTTACACACCCCAGCATAGAACCCTGCAAACTCAGATGGAGCAGGCACTTAAGGGCTCTGCATCTCAGGACCCACTTTGCTCCTAAAATCTAACATGTAAAAACTAGATCCATCTTAGCACAACCCAAGCTTTGTCCCAAAGGATTTTGGTTCCAAGAGGTTATTTATGTATCACACTGAAAGAGAGTTCTAAGTAGGGCTAAAGTTTCCTTAGTTCAGAACCATAATGAAGTTTTAATATTCTTATGGAGTGATTCATCTGTAAGAAAAAGAGGTAGTGTGCAGCATCTCCCAAAATAACATGCTTTGATATTTCTTTTTCCAATGAGCAAACTACAATTTAGGTAAGAAAAGTCTAGTTCAGGTATGGGAAAGGTTGTGCAGACCTGGGGCATCCTTAGAGGCATGGACCAAACCCCTCCATTCCTGGCACCTGCCTTCCTGGCCTGTTACATACCCTGTTGCTCCCGGGACAGTGACACTCACTTTCCAGGAACTCTGCTGCTGGCAACTGCCAAGACTAACATATGGACACTTAATATGTTTGAATTTATCCGCTTCCTCCTGACCAGTCCCAAATTGACATTTCCGGACTCTTATAACAGATGGGACTTTGGCATCTAAAAGTCACTGGAGCCCTAAGTGATACTACTGACCCCAGAAGCTGCCTTCAATCCCAGTTCCTGCCAGCCTAATCTACTAAAAGTGTCCACTCTGAGTTACAGTTTAGTTTGACAAATGTTTCCAAATGATAGCAACTAGATTCAAGCCTGCCAACCACACCAACACACCAGAACCCCACTAATGAGGCAAGACAGGGCAGGGGAGGGGAGGGATTTCTTCTCTTTTTATGAATGTGCTATAATGGGCTAAACAATGACTGCCCAAAGATGTCAGGTCCTAATTTCTGGGAACCTGTAAGCATGGGGAGAAGATGTTTGCAGATAGAATTAAGTCAATGATATTGAGATGGGGTGAAGATCCTGGATTATGCTGATGAGTCCTTGAAAATATCACAGACGTCATTTAAAGAATGGGGTGGACAGAGACTCTAGGCACACAGAGGTAAAGGGAGTTTAAAGAAGGAGACAGCAATAGATTGATGGGCTACAAGCCAAGGAACAGCTTGGCCACCAGAAGCTGTTAAGGCACAAGAAACAGTCCTACCCTACAGATCCTGCTGTGACTGTGGCTTGCAGAGCTGAGAGCATAAACGTCTGTTGCTGTCAGTCACCAGGTCTGAGATCATTTGTTAAAGGAACCCTTGTAAACTAACACAGCAGCAGATACAATAAAACCTCTCTTTTGCTACTTGGCTCACAAAGATTAAATATTCACTGACATTTGGTCCAGGGTGGATGAGAATTTAGGGAGAACCTCACATGGAAAGCAAATGTTATGACACCAACTTTTAAATTATTTCTGTTTTTAAAAATAATTTTCTTAGCCAGGTGGTGGTGGCACATGCCTTTAGTTCCAGCACTCAGAGAGCAGAGGCAGGTAGATCTTTGTGAGTTTGAGGTTAGCCTGGTCTACAAAGCAAGTTTCAGGACAGCCAGAGCTGTTACACAGAGAAATACTGTTTCAATAAAAAAAGAATATGAAGTCAAAAATTTTTAAAGCTACTTCTATTTCAGTCATATTCAAACATCTGTTGCAATAGTTGTTTGGTTTCTTTGGTTTTTGTTTGTTTGCTTGCTTGCTTGTTTGCTTGTTGGAGGGGCTTGATTGTCTGTTTTTTAAAATTCTTTGTTTTTTGAGACAAAGTGTCAAGTAGCCCAGGATGGCCTACAAGGTACTATAACGCCAAAGATGACTTTAAATTCTTGATCTCCCAACCTCTACCTCCCAAGTAATAGGATTGTTGGTGTGTGCCCCATGAAGGCTTTCCTTATTCTTTTTAGTGCTGGAGATGGCTGCACAGGTGAAATCATTATAACTGCATTATAATGGAAAGGAGGCTTTCATTCCATGTTGTCTTATACTTCCCATAAGATGTCAGTTAACCCCCCCCCAAAAAAAAGCTCAGGTAAGCCCTGTCTAATGGAATCTTGAGTAGCTGCTGCACTCTAATTCTCTTAAGCACTACCCAACTGTGCATCCTCTGTGAGACCAACATTACACTGAAATATTATTTCCTCATTGTGATATACTGCTAAGAGAATTATTGGATCCCTAGGAGTTCCAGGGGCTTCTCAATCCTATCTTGCCACAACCCAATCTCATGGAGCATCATGCCACTCATCCTTCCTGAATTTTCAACCTACATCATTTCACTTCAAATATTGCTTGGTTTCTACCTCTGGTGTTGAAAAGGTTTAACATAGATGGGTTTTAAATTATAATGAAAAGTAAGTGTTCCATGTATCTAAAAAGGATTAAAAAAATTGTTCAGTTAAGAAGAGCCTCCAAAACACCAAAACGACTCAAAGAAATAAGCCTGGATGCAAAGGAAACCAGCCCAGTCACCTAACTGATGTGTCTCCCATTTACCTGAATAAGAACTCCAACCCATTACTCTGAGTGCTAGACTTGACTATTTGTTGAGGCCCTGTACTCAGTTTACCTGTCCACAGTGAGTGCATTGGACCCATTATCTTGCAGGTTCTGTTTCTCCTTCCCAACACAGACTTTCTCACTGCTTTGAACACTTACTTTGGTGTACCATGAAAACAAGGGTGTGTCTTCAAACAGTTTTCTCATGTCCAAAGGGACAAAGAAAACATTATCTATGGCTGAGAGCAGGGAGAAGGCTGGGTAGCTGGTGCTTGAGTTCAGCTGTGTGGCATTGCTGAGCCTTTTCATAAAGAAGATGACCGGCTGTTCCGGGTAGATTTGGGCAGCAGACTCCACAGCACAGGACACCAGTGGAGGTGGCTCCACTCTTTCAGAAGTCTCTATGAACACAATGCTTCGTCCACTGCTTAGGAGGTCTTCCTGCCCCGGAGGAGATGTGAAGAGAGGTAGGCAGGCAAAGAAGCATTGGGACCTCAGGGTGAGCCGGTATAGCAGGCCACAGGCAAACACCAGGACGAGCGACAGGGAGAGATGGAGTTCCCTCAGCATGTCCTCCAGCTCTCCCGGCCTCTTCTTTAAGCAACACAGTTCATCAGAATATGGTGATCCTAATACAGGCAGCATGCAAGGAAACAAGTAAGAATATCACCTATCAGTTAAGATGAAAGAAGACCCCAGTGAAATATGGTCAAACCTGGCGATATTAAAAAAATTCATCTTAGATTTAGATTTATATAGGAAGACAATTAATTTACTATATATACTATTAATAATAATAAATGCTATAAAATACTAATCAATATATACTATTAATTAATATAATTTAATATATATACCATTAACAGAAGAAACGAAAAGCAACGATCTCACAATTCTGATTCAATAGAGGTCAAGAATGTAGGAAATTTTGACTCACAGTCATGATTTTTTAAAAAATTACAAGAAAACTTCCTTAATCTGATAAATAATACCTGACAGAACAATACATAAATGATAACATATAGATAGAATATGGGAATAGATAGATGGGAATAGATAGATGATAATATAAGGATAATATAGATGACAATATATAGATTATAATATATAGCAATCATCCTTCTTCACACAAAATGTTCCAATAAAGCCTGACTATGGTAAAATGCCCATCATCACTCTTACTAGTCAACATTATTCTAACAATTCTAACCAAGTCAATGAAACAAAAAGAAAAAAATCACTAATATAAATATTAGAAGAGGCCAAAGTGTCACCAGTTTCCCAAACTATGACCACAGATGAAGAAAACTGAATATAATATGTTCAAAAATTAACAGAATTCAGAAGAAAATTAACCAAAGGTCTAAACTGAAAGTTAGAGGGTGACATTGTGAACATCGTTTGCAAGCATTGGAGCAGTATGTCCAACCTGAATCATCTACCACCAAAGTCCAGGTTCCAGTTCACCACAGTGGCTCCCTCCCTGCAGAAGGGAACTTGAACTCAAGATGACTCCAAGACAGCAGGAATCTCAATTCCCAAAAGGCCCATTTTTTGCCTTCTACAAAACTCTTTCAAAAAACTCAAATCCAGGAGCCCAGAACTTACTTTCCAGCCAGAGACTTGCAGCTCACCAGTATTTGAGATCTTAGAGTGAAGACACGTTTTTCCTGTATACATTCTGATAACTCACTGCCCAGTCTTCCAATTCAACCACACAGAGGAAAGTAAATCATTGGCAGGAGATTAAGAATAAACCTAAGAACTCCCCAGGAAGCTCCTCCCTTCACGAAGCTCCTCCCTATCACCCTGAAAGTAAGTATGTGGGGATAATAGGAGTTCACAAGATGTTTCAGATGACCCACTTACGTGGCTTGGCAAGCCTGTCTGGGGATCTATCATGGGGGCTCCAAGAGGATCCTCTCAGGTGGAGGAAACTATAAGAGAGCATGATACTGGCGCCATCATGCCACACATTTGCTCAGTTTAGCTTGAATCAAACTCATGAGCAAAGTCTTGTGAAAGGTTCTTTACCAGACAATCTGTAAACTGACCCAGATTTCTCCTTTGCAATCATGATTAAAAATTTTGATGAAAAGAAAAGAAAGCCTGTTTGCACCATCAAAGCAGTGGACAAACTCCAGGAGTCTAAAGGCCCAAGGATGTACAATGGGAATGGATGGACCCTCCAGTGCCAGCTACAATAGCTGCAGGAGGGGCCTTTTTTGCCTTGATGTACCATTGTGGGGTAGGAACTTCTCATAAAGTCAGCTTGATCACCCTCAACCAATGTGGGTTTCCCCAAGGTATCTTCACCCTCCATGGTCTAGCCCCACGGCCCCTGATGTGAGCATTCAGCAAACCTCTTCAAAGCCGTTCTTTGGCCAGGCAGTGGTAGCCTTTAATCCCAGAACTCAGGAGGAAGATGCAGGTGAATCTCTGAGTTTGAGACCCGCCTGCCTGGTCTACAAACAGAGCAAGTTCCAGGACAGCCAGCAATACACAGAGAAACCTTGTCTCAGAAAAACCAAAAAGAAGGAAGGAAGGAAGGAAGGAAGGAAGGAAGGAAGGAAGGAAGGAAGGAAGGAAGGAAGGAAGGAAGGAAACTGTTCTCTGCTCAGAGAATCACCTGTCCTCAGCCCAGAGCTTCCTCTCAGGCAAAAACAGGTTCCCCCCGATGCTGTAGTATGATCAGGGATGCACCCTACTGGACAGACTGTGGATCCAATCCTACATTAAGGGAGCTGAAGCTGTCCCATTTCTTGATCTCTCTGCGTTTCTTTGTCTGAGCATCCCCAGAAGCAGCTCTTGGTTCTCCACCTGCTCCTCCTTTGGGAAATGGATTTCTTATGTGGCTCTGATCAAGTCTGGGCTCAAGGTAATCTGGCATCTTTTGAGAGTTCTTAGAGTGAATAGATGTGGGCGTTCTTTCCTTCAAACAGGCAGAAAGATTAGCAGTCCTGCTACCTGCTTGAGGCTAACTGGAGAGCTGGGTTTGTGGAAGAGACAGATGCCTTGTTCCTAGTTGGGTCTAGCTGCTTGTACACTGGCAGAAACAAATGAGCCAGTGGTCAAGAAAACAGTGACAGAGTTAGTGGTCTTTTCAGTGGGGCGTGGGTGTGAGTCTGAGTGATGTGAAATCTCAAACCTCACAGTAGATCTTGCCGGTCAAGCACCAGGCAGAATGATGCCGACATCTGTCACAGGCCGAGAGCTCTAGGACTCTGAGAAGTGCAGAAAATAACCTACTTCAGGTTCACCTTGGAGATGAAATGACTAAAGAAGAACCCTGACTTCCCACCAGGGAGAAGAGGAAGGACAACAAAGGTGGAGTCAGGCAGAGGTGTGCGCATACCTGTGATTCCAGCACTGGACGGGTAGAGGCAGGGAATCAGGAGTTCAGAGTTATCCTCAGCCACAGAGTTGTCCTCGAGGCTAGCCTGAGATAAATGCTATCCCGCCTCAAAAATAAAACAAAAATTACTGTAGATGGGCCCCTTGATAAAAACATAAAGCTGCTTGCTCCCTGGGTAATTGTTTTTAATTTATGAATGAAATTTAGATCCTCACCCTGTGTGAGTTGGTGTGATGTGTCCAAAATGCAAATTACAGGTCCTGAGGAATGTTTAGGACCACAGCTGGACGTCCTTCCCTGATCTTCCTGAAAGATTTGATCACTCCACATGGAACTTCCAAGGGTGTGTAGACATCCTTTGGGGGGCGGGGAATAAGACTCCTTCCCTTCCTTCTGCTCTCCTTTCTACTACACTTAGCCAATACATGCCCAGTTTCTGTCTATTCAGGATGAGGTCACAGCAGAGTCTCTTAACTCAGACTTCATGGACCCCAGCATCCACAAGGATGGGTTTCAGGAAGATGGGGCCCCACAACAACGACCCTACCCAGTCCAGAATGATGCCATGGTACTCAGAACATTACTCAATGGTCAACCTTGGAGCTTTTTCAGTCTTTTGTCCCTATGCATACCCTTTGATAATCTCAATTAGAAATAGTTCTGGATTTGGATCGAATCCTTACATAAAGGACCCACTGTATCAGGCCAGGAAAGTTAGAAGGATCTTTAACAGTAAATGTTTATTGACTTGAATTGCACTTAAAAAGTACACTGTGCCTCTCTGTAGCTTCTTTGAACTAGGGTTTATTGTGAGACGGAAATGCTTAAGCCAGAAGCACTCGTCCTATTTGCTTTGGCTTTTAATGCCACGGTTCCGGTTTTAAACATATTTGTGAAGCAAGTGGGACTGATAAACTTGTTAAAACATTCAGCCACTAGCAGCCCAAGACAAATTATCCAAGGCGATAGCTTGTCCACGCAGCCAATTCCTTTCCTCAAGCAAACAAAGCCCAAAAGGGGTTTTGTTTGGCTGGATGTGAATAGATGGAGAGACGGCTAGACACGGGCCTCCTGTCACCGCAGAGTGGCAAACAACCAGGTGGCATGGTGTTTGGGAACCCATGAAGAAATAGTAAAAGAGGTGATGCACGCTTCGAAGTTATGATATCATTAACACGGAAAAATACAATTTTAAACTCGAAGTCAGTGACTTAATGCCATCATACCTTGCAATGTATTTTAAACTATCTTAAACTCCCAGTAAAATGGTCCTAATCTTCCTTTCTTTTTTATTAGAGCATACCTAAATCAAACATACCCCTGTGTACAAAACCTTGCACAGTTATCAAGCATATTTCTTGATTTGCTTTATTGTGATAACACACGTAATTGCCCCCTGCCTTTAACATTTATTTGCAGATAAAAACAGCTGCTGGGAGATAAAGTAAAAATAAATGTTCCTGGTGAGATACTCGTACCCACCAAAACCACTTTTTAAGGCTGTGTGGCCAAGCCCTCTGATCTAGAATTGAATTCTGTCTTCCACAAGGGAAGTGAGAATATCTTCGACCTACCCACACCGCCCACATGGCACAGGACTGTCTGAGGGACCGAACATATCTCAATATGGCTGACAGAAACTGTTACAGGCTACTATCATGTCACATCCCCACCCCAAATTTACCTAATCTCAATGGGATGTATTTGGAGGTCAAACTAGGGAGGGATAATTAGATTCAGATTAAATCTCCCTCTTTTTCGGCAAAAGTAGCAAGATAACTTTATTTGGAGTGAAATAATTATACAGAATGAAGGGGAAATATATTGTGAATACTAACAGCAGGCACATGAGTCCAGGGTATGGGCGAGATTAAGACCTTTATAAGAAGACCAATATCTCTCTCTCTCTCTCTCTCTCTCTCTCTCTCTCTCTCTCTCTCTCTCTCTCTCTCTCTCTCTCCAAAATGGTAAGAAACAAATGTCTTCTGTTTAAGCCACCCAGTGTGTGGAATGTTGTTGTAGCAGACTGAGCCATGGCAGAAACGCCATGGTAAGCTTCCACATGTTTCATAACAATCTGTTTTTTAGCTCTAGAGGATGCTAAAACTGCTCTTAAGAATTAGAACCAAGGAGCAGTAAGACAGCCCAGGGGATAAGGCACTGGCTCCAAATCTGATATGTACAGCTCAGCTCAATCCTTGGAAGCACATGGTGG